GAGAACTAAGCCAATTTATTACATTTACAAGCTGTGACGTTGTGGTTTAGTATTTTGAGGAAGTTGACTATGAAGCAAGTCAATATTCATATCATACTATAGTTGAATTTTTTCTCTATTTTCCTCCCATTATGACACTTAAAATGACTGAAATTACACACACCAATTTTGCCCCAGATTCGACCGTGAACTTGCATAATTTTAGAGTTTGTGTGTTTGTAAACACCTCACACGGAACCATTTTTGCAATCTAGTAGTTGCGTATTTGGTTTGGATGAATTGCCAAACAAAAAAAATCAGCGTGATCCAGATCTGTTACTGGCACCGAAAACTAGTTTATTTTCATGTTTTCAATACAGTTGATCGATTGTACAAAACAGGAAAAAGGTATTACTCCCGAGAGTCACTCAAAAAAAAACCAAATCAATTATCTCGAAAACTAAAATCTTGTGGCCATCCATTGGATTCCAGATTTGTACCTAAAAAAACTAGCACCCCATTCAACGATGGTCTAGCACTACTAAATCGCCTCTAATGAATTCTTTTTCATTTCATTCGAAAAATCTAGTCCATGTTTTAGGAAACGTTGAACAAACTTTGGTAAGACGGCCTTTAATGGATACTTTTTTTACTCCTTTGGTACTGAAGAATTTTTGGTAAATATATATTTACGTTGAATTATGAATTCATTTCGTATATTAATAGATATTAATACAGGAGCTGCAGACGAACTGAATTTCTATTTATGTCGATGAAATCAAGTGTACTTACTCAAATATGACATATTAAAAATGAGATATAATTTCTATTCTCTATTTCGAGAATTGGGGTCAATTGGATATTTTTGTGTATGTATAATTGTATGTGTGACACTCATCATTGGAATGAATTTATATTTAGAACCCAAAATTTACTATATATGGTTTGTGTGCATTTAATTTAATTTAAATAAATCGAAATAGCGTCATGATACAATTTACATTAGTTGTAAAATTTAAATGTTGAAAAACTTAATGCATAACTTGTTATCAGTTAATTGATGGTATATCCATGTAGAATCATGGCGCCACTCGTCATCTAACCATTTTAAATTAGTTTTATATAAACATGAGTCTAATACATCCACATTCATATTGTAATGAAAAATTTAATGATCTACATATTACAATGGCCAAGCACAATTCCAAACATGACATACATTTTTCCGTTGTCCTTGAGAAAGCTCCAATTGAAAATGAATTTTTGAATGGAAGAATTTTTGTTTTTTTAGATATACCCAAGAATGTGAAAAAAAACCAATCGAATTAAATTTAAATTCAAATCATATTAGTCAAATGTTTACACAGATTCGAAGATTAAAAATGTTTGTACAAAATACAATGAAATTCACTCTGCTCGCACAGTGGATAAAATGCATGCATACAAATACAAATACCTAAATTTGTAATGAGCGTTTATAATAAAATCGTTTGTTTGCTCAGTGATCCTGTAACGCTGGAACGTTGTCCGACTAAAACAAATAGTTTTGTATAAAATGAAATTAATTTCGATTTGGTTACACAATTACAAGCAATAAATATAAATTAGGCTGTGGCATGGATCTAGTGAGCAAAAGTCACATATATACAGAGAGAGGTACAACTAATAATGGCAGACAATGCAATAGATAATGGTTGATCGTATTATATTATATATGGTATATCTAATGTGGTTGGTCGTGCACTTTGTATGATTTACTCAAACACATGCACCACTTCGCTCATTGTTCACATTGTCCACATTGTTAGATGTTTATATTGTTTGCATAAGCTTTTCTCTCCCCCCGCCCGTTCTGAACCGATTTAAATTATTAAACAAAAAAAGCATAGACACCACAACGAGTGTTTGGTTTTTATTGTGATGCGCGCCTGCGACAAACAATTTTTTTTTGTTTCATCCGTAATAAGTGCCGCTAAGCGATCAGTTCAACGTGTGAGAAATTGAGGTAGAATTAAAACTGGCAACAGAGAACGATAGCATGTTCAGAGCACAACATTATTTATTAATTTTTTTATTTTGAATTAGTAGGACTGCTTTAATTTATTTCTATATAGTTTTACGTACCAACATTCAAATCTATTTTATGTTTTATTTAGTAATAAATATAATAGAAAACCACAAATGCACGCTATTCTATGGCAACATTGTTTGAAGAGCACTACTCTACTGGTCAATCTCTCTCTCTCTCTCTCTCGATTTCGTGTTGTGATTTAAAATTTATTCAATTTAACAAAATATACATGAAAATCCACTAATTAGCAAATGAGTTTACAGTGGGTGAAAATCGAATTTACCTATTAATATTATAACACTTTGTCCGCCATTTATCGCTTAGAATTTTAGTCACAAATAAAGTAATACAATTATTTATCAAATGTAAATATTTGAATGCTTTATTTCGTGGATCAATTCAAATCAATGAATTAAATTTAAATTGATCTGAATGGAAAGGGGAAAAAAATCCGTCATAAAAAAGCAAATACTTTTTAATCGAAATTGAGCAATGAACCAAGTTTATGAATTGAAATGCATTGTAGAAGTGTTTCGATTAGCAATCAATCCAATTGAAGAAGAAGAAAGTTCAATGTTTTCAACACAAAATGGATAATCCAGCATTTCGTGTCGTCGATGAGAGAGAAAAAAAAAATTGAGAAAAAAAAATGAAGCAAATCCATTTTTCTGCTCGTCTATCTTGATTGTTCGCTTTTCAAATTAAATAAGACAAAAGCATTCACTGAAAATTCAATATAAAATAAAGAATTGATGATTGAACAAATGAGAAGTGACGACAAAAAAATCGGTTCGTGTCGGCACAAAAAAAAAAGATTCACGAGATTATTTTTTTTTTGTATCTTCGGAATTGTTGTTGTTATGTGTGTGTATTGTACATGAAAATGACCAAATGGAATATGTCGTTTTATGTCGGTGATGAAGCGCGCCTGAATTGAACGATGAAGACAGAGAGAGAGAAAAGAAAACTATAAGAAAGTCGTAGCCACAAAGAAAAACGATGACGGATGATGAGTTTTGGGGTTGTACGACGAGCGCGAACGATAGATATGAATAAATCGACTGGAATTGTCGTAAGATCAAGAGTAGAAAAATATGGCAAGAAAAAAACGTAGGCGAGTGCAAAGAATAAAATCGAAAAAGTGCTCGAATGCAGCAACGACAAGACTGAAGCTAAACTAAAAAAAAGAAGCACATCGGTTGAACGATCCATAATGAATGTGGATGGAATTTCCTTTTCGACATTTCTTTTGTTGCTCTGGTCACATTTTTTATGTGCGCATTCATTCGGTTCGGTTTTCTTCGTTGTGTGTGTGTGTGTGTTTTTTTAAATATTATGCTTGCGATTAATATTCGGACTGTCGTCCGCGTGATTGTCATTTAATGTCGTTTGGTTTTTACTATTTTATTTGTTATAGTTGCATACCTGTGTGCAACATGAATTTCTTCGTTGCTCACATTTTTTTCCCCGCTTATTCCATCGTCCATCATTTGATACCGTTGCTCGATTGTCTCGTGTCTGTCACATCATTTCAATCGACAAAGACGATCGATCCAATTTCAATACAAACTATGGCAATATTATTTATATTTGTTCTGTCTTTCTCTTCAATTCTAATTCGTCATTTCGTTTCATCGCCCAGCGTTGTTGCTATTTTTTTTTTTGAAAAGGCAGAAAAAAGAAATGTTGCAAGCTATTATACCAATGTTTTGTTCATTTTTCTTGGGCACATTCACTCCCTCCGTAACCACTCACTTATTCTGTTTGCTGTCAACCACAATCAACAGAATTTACATATGCTTTTATCTTGTGATCAACATACCTTGATTTCAAACTCGATCCGAATGAATGAAAATGAAAATAAAATAAAAAGCACACACACACACAGCAAATACAACACGAAGGAACAAATCTGTATTTTTGGTCAAATAACAGTGGTGGTCGGTCTCAATCGCACGCGCATTCATTCTATCAATCTGCATACAGGCACGCTTATGCACATACTATCTCGGGCCTCTCAAAACAAACGACAAATGTCAAGCCATCAATTTTATTGTAAAATGGTAAATGGATATGATGGACTGTACACGTACTTATGAATATATTTATGGTTTCTTGTCGGTGACGCCAGAGAATTTCGAGTAAAGTACTCCTCTATTTTTATTTGTTAAGGTTGTAATTCTTGTTGTTGTTATTGTATTTTTGTTTATTTTTTTTTTTTATATATATATATTCCACTGTGCACCATGCATATTTCAAGCGTATTCCTGTTCTCTTTGTTTTGTTTTGCATATTTCATGTTGTTATACTTCGAATTGCAACTGAATAGTATGTTTGGTGATGTATTTTTTTGTCCTGTTGCCGATTTTTATCTGCTTCGAAAATGTGTTTATCTGTCATTCGTCTACATGCAAGTATAATTTTTTTTCTTCTGTATATTCGATCAAGTGATGGTTGCTCTTTCTCCCTCCTCTGCTAGTGCATTCGTTTGTTTCTATTCTCGGTTGTTGGTGTTTTTTTCAGATTGATTTTTCACTGAAATATTAACATCCGTGAATTTTTAGATAGGTTATTGTATGTCTATTGTGTTTATGCAAGGATGTCACAGCGCTCAAATTTGATAAATTGACGAACATCAAAGAAACCTCAATAAACGAAGTTGATGGCTGCTATAGTATAAGTCACATTTACAAAACTAGGTGCTTGTGTACACATTACATTGATTTTTTGCTTATTCTATCAAACCTTTTTGGACCATTTCGTTTATTCGACTGTCGATTTTTATGGAGTTCAATAACATAGAACAATGTATTTTTCGGTGGAAAATAACAATTTATTTGCAATTTATATATATATGTAGTTTATTAAATTTATTTTTATGTACATTGGAATGATAAAATTGATCAAAAAGTATTCACTTTCACATGAAGCATCGATTGATATTAAGACTTTTCCAATGAAGAAAAAAAAAAAAAAAATATGAAAGAGAGAAGCAAAGATAAAACTCGGTAGTGGAAATTCAATTTAGACGGTTTGGGTGGATCGTTAGACGAATAAGAGATATTTTAGAAAATCGAATATTTTGTATCAAACTTCCTTGAGAGGGTTAAATGAATTCACCGACAGCCGATTTTGATATGAAAACGTTCATTTAGCTGATAAAATAAATATTTTTCCTTGTTTTCCTCTGCGGTATGCCGATATACATCATTCACTTTTACGATTGACCAACTAAGAAAGTAAACGAAATCAAAATGAAGAACTATGGAATAAAACCATTTTTAACCTCGAAAAGTCTTAGCATCAGTCTATACGTTGTGTGGATGCAACCAAATGACGCAATTTTTTTATTTTCAAATTGCTCAGTATACATCTATTTTTCAGCTATGAGAAACATGCAATTGTAATTCTATCATTTTCATGTTAATCGTCTTTTCTTAAGATACTTGAATTTATTTTGAAGACAGAACAAAGTTATAATACAGATCAAAAGCTATGAATAATAAAGCCTATACGGTCCAGGGGATCAAATGCTAATTTTGCAGATTTTAAGTGAAAATTTGTGACGTCATTTGTGATAAATGAACGATGGATGGATGAATCATGGATAGAGTATAATTGGATGATGATTGAAAGATTGGTGTGAATTAATGAAAGAATCTTTGATCGAGTGAGATGACACCTCTAAGATATTAGTTCGAAAGGTGTTTATATAATCTAACGTAATTATTAATGCCAAAAATAAAAACCATAGCAGCGTTACCAACGCAAGCTTCACTAACGCAGAATTACAAATTGATATTTTGTTGAAATATTGAGCCGCATTATGAATTTTACTCCAGAACCATCGAATAATATATATAAATATATGCGCGAAATCTCCTAGATTATTCATATGTGTTCAAATCAATCACTAAAATTATTGACTAAACTTTCGAAATTTTATTTATTTATTAACTATAGTCTTTTTGATGAATGGGCTTTTCCAAAATTTGATCTGTAACTCATTTCCTGGCGAGTCACAATTTTACAAACGACACATTTTTTTACAAATTAATCACCAATGTGCAATCAATTCGAGAATGTTGACCCCCTGGACAGTGTGCGTCAAAAAAAAATAAAACGAGACACGAAAATCTTATCAATTAATCATAAGATATGTTAACACTGGATGTGGTATAGATCTGAGACTGTGAAGTGAATCAAATCAATTTCTTTCAGTCATTTTAATGTTTGCATTGTTATCGTAATGCAACGAAACGATTGAATACTTTTTGCAAAATGCCCACCACCAGCGATAGGCAAATCGATTGTTTTCGTCAAAAACTTGATGATTGCAATTTCCCAGCCGATAGACGAATTGCAATATTTCCGAAAGTGGTTTCCGTGTGCGTCGATTGTACGGTGACGCTGAGAGATCACAGCAGTATTCCAGCACGGTATTTTCATCGTTTGCATTCAAACCAGATTTTGCTAATACTTCCATTCGATTCGATTTACCTAAAATATTATCGTAAAGCGTTCCTTTTGGTATATTGTACTTCATGGACGCCTGAGTGAAACGCATTTTCTGCGTTACCACTGATTCGATTGCTTCACGTAACTGATCAGCGGTCCACGATGGCGCTTTTAATTTTGTTGATTCACTCTCTGCACACAATAAATGTTAAATGTAATAAAACTATTTTCACGTTAATCGTGTTAAATAAATTCGTGGATCTCTTACTTTTTACAGCGGTCTTTCCTTTATTCCCATCAGTTTCCACTGGTTCGGATGAAATGGAGTGCACATTTGGATCCATCCAATGGAAACCTTCAAAACTCTGCGAAGAAAAAAATAATGTTGAGTTAATGTGAAATCCATTATTTATACTTAACTAAAATACATTATTTTTGTTTATTCATTCTATTTTATAATTACAATTTAATATACAGTACGGCTTCGATTATCCGTCATCTTCAAAATCTTGATTTATAAATGAATTTGTTTGATTTTTTGAAGAAAATTTCAGGTTGATGTCCCAGAATTTTTTTTCGATTATTCGAGTCGAGCAGCATGTACTGTAGTACATTAAAAATTACTGCAGATATTATTCAAGTATAAAGGATTTTCTTGAACAAAGCAGAAAAAATTGCGAAAGAGAACCGCCTATTCAGAACACAAGTCAAATGAGCTACGATTTTTCATTTATTGTTTGTATTATTCGTCAATAGCTGCAGTTCACATTAACCGCTTTCACAGTCTTAAAAAAGAATCAAACGAAATATTTCATTAGCTATGCATACATAGCTAGACACGCGAGTCGCGTTGGCGTCCAAAATATACAGTATAAATTGTAATCGAAATACATTACCGCATCAACAAACATAACATTTGAATTCATTATCAAAAAGGCTTCAAATCAATTGATATATTAATTGTACGATTGTTTTTAGTGTTTCACCTAGTAAATTGTATGTTTTATGTGGAAAATTGTATTTTTTTTGTGCAGCGACGTTACATAGCCAACGCGATGAGAAACGAGTACACCAGCATGTGTTCTAATAAGCATTTTTGCCATGTCAAAGTAACGATAAATTGAGGACAACATAGTAGTGGCTGGTTCATTTTCCATGCAAAATTGTATTGCATTTAAAACTTTCCAACATCAATTCGTTTACTTTTTGCTGCGAAATACGCACACGATAAACGCTTACATTCTAAAATGAAAATGCCCGAGTCAAGTACCGACTTCATAAAATCAATTTTAGTACAGTTTCAAAGATATATTTGTTCTCTTGGTGAAAAAACTTTATTCCACAGAGGATTTTGTCGGAAAAAATACATTTTGCATTCCATTCATACCAAAATTTTGGTATTAAGAATAACAATAAAAAAAACAATGAGCATTTTTAATTATACCGAGACCGAAAAAGAACCAACATTTAGGAGTTATTTACCCATTCACAAAATTTATATTTTGATAAAAAAATTCTTTCATTTTGCTTGCGGTTTTTTTTGCCATGAGTTTTGACCTTTCTTATTTTGATTTTTCCATGAGTTTTGACCTACTCAATTTCAGAGTATGATAACCTATGATTTGCAATGACACTTTGTTTTTTTTTCTTCGATTTTGTAAAGTATTTCTATGTTTTTATCTTTTATTGTGCTGTTTTAGTGTACAGCATTATAAATATCCACTTGTCGTTTGTTTTTATGCAACACTGCTTTTATCGAAATGCATTTATATTCGATGCAAGCAACAACATTTTCTTCGTGTATCGATTGCATATTATTATTCATATAAATATGCATGCATTATTGTATTTATAAATGGATTTGAAAAATTGAATTTAAAATTGACTCTTTTCTAAAAAATGGACAAAACGAAAATATGTAGTTGGTTATTATTAGAAAATTGTTTTCGGTAATAAACTGAATAGTGAACAAAACATTTTATAATACACTAACATAACGTTTCAATGTTTGGAATTCAAAATGTACGGCATACGGCAGTACGCATGCTGAGCATATACATCTGTGTCTATTTTGGCAAATGTAATAACAATCATAAAAAAGAAACAATGTACTCTGACAATTAGCACTCAGTAAATATTGAAAACTTATGTAGACCTATGTAAAACTATAAGATATTCCAAAATGAATGGCATGTGATACTCTTTTGGCATATGATACATCTCAATTTGCTCATTTTGTATAGATTAATTGTCGGAATGGTATTGTATTTCTTTGAATTTGGTCTTTAAACAAGTGCCCTTTCTCTATCCCATCATATTTATATTACTGGTTATAGATGTCATGAACGACCTAAAATTAAATTCAGCAATTATATATTATAATACGCTTTTTGAATCTTGTTTTGTTTTCAGGGTTTTATTTTTGCATGCTAATGAATAAAAATGCGGTTTATTTTCGGCCGTTATTAAATTGTTCCCTTGACTTAATAACTTTTCTCTCTGGAAGAAAAAGGATTTATGTTCATACAAACTATATACCCTTGTATGGTTAGGAGATAGGGGTAGGGAATGGATTTAGTATCTGAAAGGTAGGGATAGAAAGAATGTTCGAACTGGAAATAGTTTCCCTGGATGACCAAATTTTAAAAGGAAATATGAATGGTTGAGAATAATAATGAAACTTAATTTTTGTTCAAACTGAAGTGTCCCTTCGGAATATTTCCAATAAAAGTGTCCCAAGTTTGTGTATAGTTTTCCATATAAACTTGGGACACTTTTATTGGAAATATTTCGAAGGGACACTTCAGTTTGAACAAAAATTAAGTTTCATTATTATTCTCAACCATTCATATGTTCTCCGATATTTCGGGCATAAATTGTATGGGGGAAATTGTGATCGGGGGAAATATGATCGGTCATCCCTCTGGCATCCGTAATCAACCAATTTCCGATAGATAAAAACTTGAAATTCACATTTTGTTCCTCCACATTTGAAATCACCCACTCCTCTAGAAATCTGACCTCGTACACAACTAAAATTATGTTACAAATGAACTAATATTATATCTTTCGTTGACAACTTTATCAAAAAAACGTAAAGCACACAAAACCATACAAATACTGTTGAGTGTGTTTGGGCAATTTGAAGATCATTTGAATTGTGGTTCGCGTTGAACGTAAATAAGTATGCAATAAATATAACAAATATAATTATGCACTTGGTATGAAAATTGAATAATAATTCACGTCAATATTTTATGCAAAAGTGGTCGGCTAAATAAACCGAAAGTATATATTTCAATAAGAAGAATAAAGTGGTGGAAATTAGATAGCGGTCGGTTCAGCCCGAATAAAATCCTTGATATTTTGGTTGAGTAAATAATATAGCCCATACACACAAACAGAAATATACAATGCATTCAAATTTTATCCTTTTTTTCTCGAAAAATTACCACTTCGAAAGGTTTTCCATGTCGCTTATACTATCGATGTAAATAAATTAAAAAAAAAAATCGTAAAATGGGCTGAACTGAAGTACGTACGAGAAAAGAAGCAAAAAAAAAATAACAACCCACGAGAAAATTGAGTTCATTTTAATCGCACCAGTCATACATATGCTACTCAGGATACGGCTAATATCGAAGAAGTTAATTTGTTTCACATTAACAATATGTATAGCAGCTCGATTACAATCCAAAGTGAATCACGATGCACACATGAACAGCATACTCGATGGTGAGGGGTATCGGACAAAAATAAATATATGAAGTAATTTACAACAAACAGCCCCATCACCGTAACCATACACATGCCATACATATACTTATTTTAACCTGAGCAGTACCACTTTATGGGCCGATACATGGTTGCTGGTAATGCGCTCATTACACACTGAAAAATTAAATGCTGCATTTTATTTATATCATTCGCTCTCTGACAATTAATTACTCACTTTCAGATAATTATATTTTCGTATTTAAAATGGAATACGGTGCCTCTATATAATATATATAAACTTTGTGGAGAATGTTTTGTTGAGCCAGTTGCTCGGAAATACAACGCCATGGCTACATTCAATTTCCATGGGTTTCCGGTTCGTATGTAAGAAATTCCTTGGAAATCGCAACCAAAAATAACAATTAAGAAATAATTTCCGATTACAGATAAACTTAACTTATTGTTGTGTTACATTGAATCGGAGTGTTTTTTTTATGTTTCATGCATTATGATAATAACAGGGTTGCACCACCAATATTCCGTTTAGAATGATTGATACGATTTAGTTTTTTTTACAAGTTTTACATTACGAAAATTACTTAGGTAAACGATTTTTTTTATTCTTTCATTTGACTGATTTCGATATGATTTTATTTGTACTTGAAAGAGTTTTTTTTTTAAATAGCTTGAATTTTTTTCTTCTTTATTTTCCAATGAATGTAAATTGTTAAATCCTGTAATTTTCATTTTTTTTTTTCTTCATGGTTAAAAAAAAATCAAATTTCCATCATCTACCATTTGCATAAATGCAGCTGATCAATTCAATTGGGCAGAACTCGGTGGCTATCCATTAAACAATATTTTGAATGAAGTAAAACGAAACATACACCATAACGTAAGAGTAAGAAGCAGTTAAACGTGATTTGATTTGTCATTAAAAATTAATCATTTCTTTTGTCATAAAATTCACTTGTTAATGTCCAATGGTTTTTTTTTATATAAATTTTCTTTCTTTCAATTTCTATGTAAATCTTTATAAGACTATCAATCAATTGGAGAGAACGTGCAATTTCAAATGTAATTCAACATGAAACGATAGAAAACAGTTTCGCCATTACTTTGTGAAATATTGAAAAATTAATCAGCTTAAACATGCAAATATGAAAATATCGGCTTTTACATTTGAAATTTGATGGTTTTGCTGGCCATTGCATTTCATATTGATTTCGGTTTAATTGTTATACAATATGAATAATGGTATGGATTTTTACTTTTGATCGATCTGATCATTCGACGATACTTTTTTAAGTGCTCTCTTTATATTTCACACATGAAAGTTTCCATCATCACACGTACGGATATGTTGTATGTAATTAAAAAAACGAACACTTTGCAAATCTGGCCACGCGTTTAACCACAACATTATTGCAACCAATGGAAAAATTTCCGTATACTTTACCTATTTTTTGTGTTATTATTCAATGTGTCTAAAATGTCCGTTCTATTGTTGTTGCTTTTTTCAACAGTTTGGCGGTTATTTTTACTGTCGAAAATTCTTGTTAAATTCGTTGTACGCTAATTTTTCCTCTTCCGGGCTGGCTTCCGTTTTTATAAAATGAACGATAAAAAGTGTGCTGAATTTTGTTTG